TCCCTGAGTGTGTGCACGTGCCTGGGGGGCGGGTTGTCAGGGGACCGGAAGCATCGCTCCTTCTCTGTCAAACTGCTCTCCTGTCCGACGGCAGAGCTCCAGGGGGATTTTATTTACTTTTTCAAAAATGAACTTATTAACAAAACCCCAAACTGTGTCTTGGTCACACCACCTCACACCCATTAGGATGGCTACTAGCAAAACAAACAAACATACAAAACCCAGAAAATAACAAGTGCTGGAAGACATGGAGAAGGTGGTGCCCTTGTGCACTGCTGGTGGGAATGTAAACGGTGCAGCCACTATGGAAAACAGTGTGGCAGTTTCTGAAAAAATTAAATACAGAGTTACCATATGATCCAGCAATCCCACCGCTGGGTATATGCCCCCAAAAATTGCAAGCAGGGACTCAAACAGATATTTGCCAGCCCGTGGTCCACCCCAGCCGTCTGCTCCGTTCCTCTCCCCTGCGCTCTCCCCCCACCCCGTCCTCTGCTCAGAGCCGAGTCTGGCTGTGAGACTGGGCTTCTCTCTCTAGTCACCAGGGCAGTGGGTGCTCCCAGGAGGACAATGTCCATGGTGGAGCAGAGCCCGAGACGGGGCACATGAGTCAGTCCCATCGTGGCGCCGTGGGGCCAGCGGACACCAAGCTTGTCATGGGGGACAAAGACTTTTAAAGAAATAACTTTCTTCCAAGTCTAGTCATATGTGATCACGTGAATCTGTGAGAAAGACAGAGGAGGCAAAAGGGGTGATTTTTTAAAAATTATTCTAACCATATTCCCTGGGAGATTTAGAACCATTTCCATCCAGAGTTCTATAGATCTTCCCGAGAAGTTGCTTCTCCAGCACCCCGTCACTGCAACTAACGACAGAGAAACACGAGTGCAGACGACGTAGTACAAGGAAGCTGTCTGTGAAAATCGCTGACCATACATAGATGCCACACGGAACGGCGGGCTCACGTCGTGCCGTTGGAGTGCATTTGCCCTCCCAGCTCAGGAGTCCGTCTGTGCATCAGCGTTTCAGCGTGAGCCTGTTCAGCTCCAGTAAGCCACAGGCCACGATGATGTCCTGGTAACTCAGGTATTTTTACAGTTTAACCATTGTCACCAAAGTTCTCTAGTTTTATGTGTCCCAGTCAACCTTCAGAACTGCCTGATGAGATACAATGTATCTTTCAAAATCCCAGTCCAATAGCCACTTCCTCTGTGAAGCCCTCTTGGACCTCCTTCATCTGTGCCCAGCAGAATGGATCCTGTGCCCCATATCAGTTAGGTAGGTACATGGCCGCGAGTACAGATACGCCACCTAATGGCGACTGAGACAAATAGGGGAGTCATTTTCTCACATAGAAGTAGGGAGGAAGATGGTTTATGGCATTAGATCAGCTGGTGAGTGGCAGCCTCGGGGTCCTGCTACCCTTAGCATGTTGGTGTGTATGTCATGTTTATTGGCTCATGGTCACATAATGGCTACTGGTATTCCAGACATCACATCTGAGTTCAAGGCAGAAAGAAAAGGTGACTTTAGCTGAATCTGTCCTTATTCTCATTGCCCAAAATTGTGTCTTTGGGGTTCAGCAGAAGCATGTTGAGCTTGGCCGGTCTCAGCTGGGCTCACGCATATCTGGGGGTGAGCCGCTGGTTGGCTGATGTCTGACAGCCTCAGCTGGGAGAACAGGGGCGCCTCGGCTCCACTTCACATGCCCTTGGCCTCCAGCCGGCTAGCTGGGCGTGTCCCATTGTCTTGTAGCACCATGTCCAAGTGTCTTGGCTCTTTAGTTTCCATTTACCCCCAACAGCAGCCTCGCAGGCTCACCAGAGAGCATGGTGGGACTGGGCTCGTGCTGAAGGCTGAGCAAGGTCAGGAGAGTCACTGGAAGTCATGCATCTTCCAAGTGTCAAGTCCAGAGCTTCGTGCGAGGTCCTTCACCCCATCCTAGGCTTCCTCCACAGCCGTGGGTTGCCTCTTTGAGCAGCCGCTGAGCCAGTTACGATACTGGGCCATTTCTCACGACGGCCTCCAGCAGTGCCACCGGCTGCTCTGTGAGTATCACCCTCCCCTTAACTCATTCCCTCCCTGGGAACCGGGCCCGCGTGCTGCGCCAGCCTGGAACGGGGTGGAGATGAACGTGTGAGGGACACAGCTGCTGCCCTTCAAGAGAAGGGAGGTACACGAACCTGAATCGTGCCTGTGGTCCAGGCAGCGTGCGGTCAGCGCCGAACCACAGGTGCCCTGACACGTTCCCAGGGAAGAGACGCCCCGTGGTCATGAGACCTGAGCTGTAGCCCAGACACACGCCCCATCCTCTCAGATACCCCACTCATCACCCCCAGAACACAGCTTGCATCTCCCGCCCCGGTGCTATAGTCAGGGCGGGCTCTATCCCGGTGGCGCCGGTGCCCGTGGGCCGTCCCAGGGTGTAGGACCAGCTCAGCCATTTTTTAATATATTTTTTTTCTTTTTATTATACAGGAAATGAATGGTCGTTCTAAATTCTCTTTTGTTTGTTTGAGAGGTTTTTTTTTGGGGGGGGTGGAGGTAATTGGTTTTGTATTAATTAATTAGTTATTAATGGAGGTACTGGGGATTGAACCCAGCACCTCATGCAAGCTGAGCACACGCTCTACCACTGAGCTGTGCCCGCCCAGCTCAACAGTTTTTGAGACTTCAAATCTGTCTTGTATTTTGTAGCCCACCTTGTGAAAATAAAAACATTAAAGAACCTCAGCCAACAGCTCCCCATCTGGAAGCTGATCCTAGAGATGTTTAAAGATGTTTTTATTACAACATGGTTCGTGGTCCATTCATTTATAGAGGAAAATCAAGATCCGTCCAAAATAAAGAGGTAGCGAGGGTTGACGCTCGTTCCTGCCGGTCGCGTTTACACTTCTACGGGACTGGTACAGTGTATTCGTATGTGACTGAGTAATCAAAATAAGCCTTTTAAAATAAAAATAAATAAGTAAGTAAGGACATCACTGCCTCGGACGGGCAGCCCCCACAGTGGGCGGCTGGGATTCTGAAACTGCCCCTCCGTCCGTGTGGCTGGAGACCGCTTACTCGCAGGCGAGCTGATAGGACAGAGTGCTGGCGGGGCAGCCAAGCAGAAATGACCTCCGCGCGGGGAGGCGGCTGGGCTCCGTGGGAGGCTGGGAGAGCGGCCGTGGCCAGGGTAGGACATGCTCTGAAGCCCCTGGGAGACGGGGTCAGAAACCCCCTGCCTGCCCCAGGAATGAGAAGAATTAGGCGAGATGGTTCTTGTAAAGTAGACAAGAACAAGGAGTGGCAAATATTAATAGTGGTGGCTTTATTATTAGTGTCAATAATGACATTATTATATCCTTTGGAAATATAGGAATGGTCACATTAATCCCCAAATGCCTCATTCCCTATTTAGACCAGTGGTATTTTTTTTAATTGACATACCATCAGTTGCAGTGTGCCGATTTCTGGTGCACGGCACACTGTCCCGTGGACCGGTGGTATGGACAGTGCCAAGGATAACACGCTTCCAGTAGGCGCCCTGCATCTTAAAATTTGACTTTGTACATTTGTTTGGCTCCTCTGTACTTTGTTTTTTCTGTTCTTGTTTTTTAGTAGCAGTAGGCCTTTTTAAGAGCAGTTTGGGGTTTACAACATAACTGAGCAGAAGGTACGGAGTTCCCTCACCAACCCCCGGCCCCCCTCACATCCCCAGCCCGTGCCCGCATCAGAATCTTATTCTGTTTTGTGCGTTTTTCCAGTGGGAACCTGATTTCCAGTGGGTCACGTGGCAAAGAGTTAGAACAGAGTTTCTTGTGAGCAGAGCGGCAGGCCGGCCCCTAGATGCCAGGAGGTGCTTCACAGCTGGAAAGGAGCCCCTCTGGCCTGGCAGGTCCCCGGCTGTCCCTGGGGACTAATTTGTCACAGGGTGTCAAATGGAGTGGGCATCCTCGCCCTGTACTGCGTTGTGCACGGAACTCCCACGGCTTTCGGCAGCATCACCCTGGGAGGCACAGAGAGCCTGGCAGATCTAGTCACTTCTCATCCTTATCCAGGGCCGGATGTTACCATGCGTTACATGGAGCTTGCCTGGAAGCAGGATCAATACATAATACTGGAACGCGGTCTTGGAGAGATAGATTATGGGCGTCTAAGCGGCGCTGGGGGTTTCAGCCCATTGGGTATGTCGGCTACAGACAGCTTGTTTGCTTCTGGGCTAACCCCCAGATGTGCTGCTCGGTACCCCGGTGCCTGCACTGGGCCGTCCTTTCCAAGATAATGATGACCAGCCGAGTCATTCAGCCAAAGAGGGCTGAGTCCATCGCAGTTTGGGAATGTACATTCTGACTCATCCACAAAGCTATTAAGTTTTTTTAATTGACATTTCCACTCACCACCACCCCCCAAAAAAACCACCTCACAGGCAAATAGTTTTGTACAGATTATGACTAGACCGATCAATAGACCGTTATTTTTAAGACTTCTCTGCATGGCTGGCTTCCCCGCCTCCCCGGAGACGAGAAAAATGTCAGAGAGTCCTTACCTCTCAATCCTCCCACTCGTAGAAAAATCACACGAGAAACACAAATTCCAGGCGGACTAATCAGAAAGTATGGGTAGGTGTTATGAAGTACAGACAGAGTCACACCAACTGATGGAGAAACTGTGCTGGTTTATGGTCTTAGAAGCTCTTATTCTTATACACGTGTGTGTGTGTGTGCGCGCGCACCAGGTACACAGATCATTTAAGAAAACCGACTGTACACACGATTTTGTAACATTTTTTCTTGAACAGTGGGTCCTAAATGCGTTTCCTTGTCACTAAATATGGATTTACCTGGGCAGTGAGACCAGAGAGGAGGGGCGAGATCAAGCAGGAACTCTGTCCTGGCTGTGAGCGAGATGCTGAATTAAGGACAACAGAGGGTGCTGCTGGAGGGGAGGGCGGCCTGAGCCTCAGCCCCGGGGCTCTGCCCGCCTCCGCCTTGAACCCCTTCTCTCCTCTCTTCCAGGCCATGTACATGTTCTACGCGCTGGCCATCGTGTGTGACGACTTCTTCGTCCCCTCCTTGGAAAAGATCTGTGAGGTACGTGTCAGAGCCGGGCCCTGGGGCTGCTCCAGCCTCCTCCTCTGAGGTCCGGGGAGGCCTCTGTGCAGCCGGGGTGGGAAGGCCAGGCACCAGCGTCTTCAGAGCGATGGGCAGGGTTAGCCCCAAACCCTGCTGACGCGCTCAGAGTCTCAGGGTGCTGATCCGCACACCAGCCGTCCCTGCCCCTGTGGTATCACTCAAGGTGCTACGTGTGTTCTGCTCCCCACCTTCTTTCTCTTTCAGCCCTGCTCTCCCTTTCCCCCATCACTTCCTCCTTCTTCCTCCCTGCCTTTGCTTTGCTGCCGTAACCCTCCCCGGGGGATCACGGGGTCCTCGCAGAGTGAGAAATCCCCAGCCACAGTGAGAAATCTCCATCACTCTTCTTCCCTGTGGACGAGCAGAGATGCTCCAGGCAGAGCCCAGAAGGCACCACGATGAGAGAACGGGCCCCGGAGACCAGGAAAGGGGCTCTGCCTCCGAAGTCAGCCCAGTGAGCGCCAGGCTGAGCACCAGGCCGGGTCCCTTTCATCCAAACATATTTAGCATATCCAGACCTCCTTCATTCTTTTGCTTCTTTCATCTCTTCTTCTGTTTTGAAATGCAGTTTCCTTTATCTGGAAGCTGTTTAATTTTTAATTCAGAATCCGCTTCCAGAAGGGACGTCTCCCGGGTCACCTCCCATCTGGAACGCAAGTTTCTTCGTGTGGTCCTCAGCCCGTGCTGTCCCGCCCTCCCACCCTCCCCCCAGTCTGATTCACTGGGTCTCAAGGGGAAGCAGGGAGCAGACGTGGCATTTCTAGTAAGTTCCCAGGTGACGCTGAGGCTAGTGGTCTGGAAGCCCCACTCTGAGAACCAGTAAACTTAACTGGTTTCTTCCACATCCTGAAGTCTGTGAGTCTTGTGCTCTTGCGAAAAAAAAAGAGAATGATTCTGCAGCGGCCCTGGAGCGGTCCCGGGAGTGGGTTCCTTTGTGCAGTGGAGGTAGGAGAAGGGAAGCGAGTGAGCTGGTCTCTGAGATGGGCGGCCCGCATGAGTGGAAGCCCTTCGTCCGAAGCGACTTCACCTGGGAACAGGCGGCTGGCGCGCAGAAGGCGCGGAAACACCTACAACCGGCATCACCTGTGATCTCTGGACGCTACGTTTGGCGGTTTATTCCTCGCGCAAAGCAAACGACCGTGTCTTTCCCACACAGTTTTTTTTAACTGCAAAGTTAAGCCCTTATCCTAGAAATGCACGTACAATCATCAGTACCTACAGTCCTCTGTCGAGGGGACGCATAGCACCTGTGAGCTCACCCCTCGGGGAGGAACCATGATGAAACACAGCGCGGTCCTGGCCGTGCGGGGCGGTGGGCGCAGAGCAGCTCCGGAGTCAGACACCCACAGCCCCGGGGGGAGCGCCGGGAAACGGGAGGTCAGGGAGAAAGGAAGGGAGGGATTGACTCGGCCTGGGCATCGCGGAAGGGCTGGTGCAGGGGCCAGCTGGGAGCAGCCCCTGAGGGACGGTCTCAGTGGCAACGTGTTACAAAGGTGGATATTTGAGCAGAGAAGAATCAGAGCCGTAGAAACCAGCCAGGAGGACCCGGAGCAGGAATCGGCGCGCGGGGAGCCCCGAGAACGCCAGGCGGGGGCGTCAGCAGTTACTCAGAGCTCAAGAGGGAGCTGGCAAGACTTCTGACAACTCTTCTGGTGGGGGGAAGGGTCCGGAGGCAGGAAGCCCCCCGAGCTGGTGGGTCTAAGCATCCAGTGAGATGTGACCGGGGCCGAAGTGGCTGAGGGATGAGAAAGGAGGGTTGTAATGGAGGAAGAAGCCAAGTGAGTGAATGAAGGAGACAGAGGAGCGGGAGGGGAGCCCGCGGGGTGGACTCCACACTAACGCCCCATCAGGGAGCCCGAGCTGGAGGGACCTGGCAGGGAGGGCGCACAGCTCCTGGCCAGTCTGGGCAAACCGCCCGCAGAGCCTGAGTGCTGAGTTGGGTCCCCTGCCCTGGGACTCCCGGCCTGATGAGACGGGATGCCGGGGCACCCCCTACGGCCACACCTGTCGCCTTGAGGTACCAGCACCTCCATCTTAGGGGCTCCTCAGGGCTGTGTGAGGTTTAGCTGTTCAGTCGAGACCGAGGGTACCCAGGTTTCCAAGTCAAAATGCCCTCGGGAGGGCTCCTGTGGCCGCGTCTTGCCGGTCAGTGGGGCCCGTGGCCCACGCTGAGGCCGTGCTGCCCCTCCAAGGCTGAGCAAGGAAGTGCGGCTGCTGGAGCCGCTGGGAAGAGGGACCCTGTCCTGCAAGATGAGGCTGTCTGAGCGGGGCTGCCAGGAGGGAGCTGGCTGCTTACTGACACTCAGCAGCTTACCTTCTGGGTCAGGAATGGGTGCAGGCAGACCACACACCGCCCAGCCGCAGGGTGCGCGTGTCTTGTCTTCTTACAAATCACCTTTCAGGCCAACAAACGAGTGACCTGGAGGGTTCACTGTGTAGAATTTCATCGTCTCTTTCTATTCAATCTCACCCCCCCCCCACTCTCTCTACCCCAGGATTCAAAGCTGCACTGAGGATGGGCAGTGGGTTTTGGGAGGGTGACCCTCCCTCCCCACTGCAAAACCTCCATAGCCTCCCAGACTCCAGGCTCGAAAACTGGATACCAAGAACCTAATTTAGCCTGAGATCAACGTGATATTTTTAAAAATCAGAATATTTTACATAAAACTCTGGATTTGGGCATCTCTTTAAAAATAGGGCTTTTTGGCGACATGGAGAGATCTGAGTGGTACAGCCTTTGGGAAGGAGATGGAAGCCACCCCTCCTCCCTGTGTGGCCCCCAGGGCATGTGGGTTGGGACCCCTAGGTCTTATCAAGAGCCTTTAATTCAAGGGAACATGGAGCCCCCTCCCCACTCCTGCCCCACACGGAGGAAGAGATGCTGAGAAGCAGTGTGCCCCGGCTTGGGGTGGGCGGGAGAGGCCGAGCCCCGGAGGAGGGGGAAGCTGAGGACAGACTGAGCTCGGGACCTCGGGGGTCACGGCCGCGCCCCTTCCAGGGGAGTCCCAACTCACCTGTGCTTTTGCTTCTCCGCAGCGCCTGCACCTCAGTGAGGATGTGGCTGGGGCCACGTTCATGGCGGCGGGCAGTTCGGCCCCAGAGCTGTTCACGTCGGTCATAGGTAGGTGCCGACCTGGGGAACATCTCAGCCCTGCTTTCTCTGCAGGGCAACCACCCTGAGGCCCCAGGGGGCAGAACACCCTCCCGCTGTGGTCGCTGTTCTGGTTTTATTAAAGTGATGCTTTTGCTTTGCATGAGTGGGGAGGTGCCATGGCCCCCAGTGCAGATTGGAGAGCTCCCTCCAGTCCCTCGACTGCTTCCTGTAGACCCTGAGAACAGCCTAACTAACGCTTACAAAAGCTCCCCCGCGCCCGCCTGGGCTGCAGCCCCCGCGCCAGCCAGCGACGCTGCTCTGTGTTTCAGGCGTCTTCATCACCAAGGGCGACGTGGGAGTGGGGACCATCGTGGGCTCTGCCGTCTTCAATATCCTGTGCATCATCGGCGTCTGCGGGCTCTTCGCCGGGCAGGTAAGACTGTCGGCAGGACGTGGCCTCGGGGAGGAGCAGCGTGGAGGTGAGGCAGGGGCGCCCGGCGTGGGGCCCGGTGGCCTCGGCGGACGCGGGCTCTCCCACGCCGGGGGCTGGCCTCGCGGGGACTGGAGACGCCGGCGCCATGGCTTGGTCTCTGTGCTGATGGACGTGGAGCGACCAAGCCACGTAGATAAGGGACCAGCCCAGAGAGGCAGCCTGCGAATCTGAATGTGTCACACGCGTTTCGATATGTCGCTGACGCAAATCGGAACAACCTTAGGAGTGGAGATCGAGTAACGGAGGGAGAGCCAGGAAACAGCGGGCTGCTTTCTGCTTAAGACGGTTGGCGGTCGTCAGTCTGGGACGCGTTCTCTCTTTTCACAACCGTCAAGCACTTGACCTACAAAAAAAAGATAAATTATTTAACAGTGATGCTTACCTAGCAAATATGTTGATCCTAAGGAATTATTAGTAAATATTATAAAATGTTTTCTTTTGTCTCGTAAACAGGGATGAATTGAAAGATTATAATAATACGTAGTCAGTACCCAAATTTACAGCTCAAAGTGATGACTAGATTTAAGCATATGCAGTATGCCTTTTAACCACGTAATCCATTAACAGTCTGTTAGCTCTTCTTTTAATGGATAGTTTATTTAATTTTGCTTACAGATCTTGAATTTGTTGAATTCCATTATTACAGTGTATAGTGATTTGTTCATATGAAGAATAATTACATTGGCTCTTTTTTTATGGTGTTTGAAAATAAATCCCTCATTCTCCACTTAAAGCATTTGACTTACACGTCCACTTTAGCTGACTTTGGGGGTTCTGAGGGGTTTTTTTGCCTGCCTGCATTTTATCTGTGGAGACCATTTCACTTATGGGAGGTGCGTGGGCCCGTGTCTGTCTTGTGCTGCCTTGGGAAGTCTTGGGAAGACACTGGATGTCACCGGAGTGTGTGGCTGCCCGGCCCCCGTGGCACTGCACCGACAGCCAGGGGTGTTCAGATTGCAGCCGTCCCACCAGCTCTGATGCCTTAGTTTCTTTGTAGGAATATTATTCGGAAACACAGTCCTGAGCTCTCTGCCCAAACCCCCAGGGCTGTATCTTCTAGGAAAAGCGACTTCTAGTCGCCCACTGTGGGTCCTTGCTTGCAGTATTACGGAACCCGGTGATCCAACCAGCTCCCTCGCTCAGAGGCCGCCGGGTCCTGCTAGAAGTGGCAGGTTGGCTTGCAGGGTGAAGCACAGCTCCTGGGAGCCCTCTCACACACCGTTTTCCAGACCCCATTGTGCAGTCGGCCGGCCAGGGGCCCCCAGAGCTGCCCATCTCTAGTACAGACAAGAGACCCTCTAAGGCAGCGTGCGCCCCGGCACCCCTGCCCACCTCACCACCCTCTTCATGCCGACTGGCTTGTCTGGGTTGCCTGGTGGCTTCGTTGCTTCTGGCCACCGGGTAGGGGGACACTTTGCTCTCAGTAGGAGTCAGCTCTAGAGCCTGCAGGTAGATGGTTACCTCTGAGAAGAGGTGCCGGGACATCGGTGGTGACGGTGGGCCACCCAGCTTGCTAGGCTGTACAGTGTCTTTCTCCATCCTTTTGGCCGGTTATCTCATCTTAGATCTTGTGGACCCACAATGTGGCGTTTGCACATCTCCAGTAAAGGGAGCGAGTACCAAAAAAAGTGCCCATCTTTGCCTTCAAGGCGGTTTGTGCTTCCCTGGCTCTCGGCTGTGCCGGCCGCCTTCTCCTCGCCTTCCGGAGATGAGTAGTCATGCTCTGCAGGCGCGCCCCGGCTGTTCGCACTCCCCTAATCAGCACCGTCGCCATCAGCAGTGTACGTGTTAGCCCGGCTGTTACTAGTGTTGCCATCGGTTCGTTAGTCATTTGTACCTGAAGCTTGATGCAGAGTCAGGCCCAGAGGGGGAGAAATAATGTAAAGAAGTCAAACAAATGACTGGGAAGTGCCTAGGAAATGCCATGCAGCTAATTACCTAGGCGGTGGGTGGAATGAGCTTGCGTTTCATCATTTATTAGCCAGGCAGTTAATCACTGGCTTGGTTAAACACCTGCACAGAGCACAGACTGCTTCCTGAGCCCTGGCAAGTGCTGCCCTCAGTCACTTCACTCCCTACAAGGTCTGTGCAAGCTCATCCCACACAATCGTGGGGAGAAGTGCTCACCACAGTGTTAGAAGTAGCCCACGCGGTGATTCTGGGGGCCAGCCCCTCCATCTGACTTTCCCTGCCCTGTGCCCACTTGGAGAGTTCCCAGGCCAGGCAGCTCTCTTCTTCGGGCCTTTGCAGAATCCCAGAAGTCTTTGCAGAGGGAGAAAAATGATGTTTTAGAAAGATCGTGAGCTTGGGAGTCAGACTAGCCTGGGTTTGAATCCTGACCTGCCATCCGCTGGCTGTGGAGCCTTGGAGAAGTTACTTCACCTCTCTAAGCCTCAGTTTTCTCATCTATCAAGTGGGTACAAGTGCACCTACCTCCTGGCATCACTGGAAGGATGGCACATAGCTTGTTCAGCATTAGGCAGCACCTGGCCCACGTGGTAAACCCTCGGTAAAAGTTCGACTCCATCATCAGCGATCAGAAGAATAACATCCCCTGGGGTCCCTGCCTCCGGATTCCACGCTCGGTCACTGTGGTAACGTGACCTAACAGTTGGCAGAACTTATTAACTAGAGGAACAGCCAGCCACAGGGCACCCGGTGGGGAGGGAAGGGAAGGTCAGGGAGATGGTCTTCTAAACGAGCATCAGGATGAGGAGATGCTGATAGAAGAACGGACTCAGAGGACCATCCTCACCTCTGTGCTGTCTGATCCGTGGTAGGACAGGAAAACGCTGCGAGAAACCAGCACCGCCTTCCCCACTGAGAAGGCCTCCCAGGCGGCGGGGCCCACAGTGAAGGGTGGATGTTGGGGACTGAACTGGTGAATAAATCCAGAAACGGGTCTCACTTAGCACCGTTATTTATGTCGCTGCGCACTTGCATTTGCTGCGAGACCTTACCCGCATGCGCCCACCGGCCCCTCTCTAACACATTCCGGCGTCGGGGCTGCTCGTGACCAAGTCGGTTACCCATCTGAAATTAAAGTAATTAGGCCATAAGGTTTGAGTTCCTGTCTCAATTAGGGTTTTGATGAATTCGGTGCAATTAAATGTCTGCTGTCTTTGCAGTTTGCAAACATAGCCGGAGCCTGGTCTCCCCCCAGGTGCTGTGGGGAGTGTTAGGGGACAAGAAGGAAATTGCTTCTTAGAAAGTGGCTTCTGGCGCGGTTCTCGGCATCCTCGCAGGATGTTTACAGGGCTGTGGTCCTTCAAGTTTTCTCTGTTTAAGAACAAAAAAATAGTAACAGAGAACACCAAGCTGTGGAGGCAACATGCTAATGTATTCTGCATCTCACATTAAAAGAACTTCCTGGCAGTTTTGTAAGACAATGAACTCAGGCACTTAAATCTACCGTTTCAAGTACGCTAGGCTTTAAAGACACAGCCACAAACTACAGCAAGCAGTGTAACAGGCCCAGAGTAGGACTTTGGCGCTCCGCTTACCACAGGCCGGCTGATGGGTCCAGCTGATGATAAGGAACTTCAGCGTCCGCTGTCCTGGCATCCCCGACGTGTGCCTGGTGTTCTTCCGTGCGGTCCATCTGGTTTTGGCTGGGTTTGCCTTTCTTCAGTCAACACCCTGGCCATGCTGGCCCCTTTACAAACCCGGGCAGCACCGGGAGGTCATGCCTCTGGGCTGAGACCTGCCTTTGACTGGGTTTCCCCAGAGGGAGAATCTAAGCAACAATTCAAGTTCGAGTAGTTTATATAAAAGGTGATCCCAGGGCACGCCAGCCGGGAAGTGGGCAGGTGAGACACACAAGAGAAAGCGGACGAGGACACTGTGGCAGCAGCAAGTCACCACTGGGGGCACTGGGATGACTGCTTCTGGGGCAGCTGGGAGGCCCCGTAGAACGCGGGCCTCAAAGTGATCTCCTCCAAGGTGGGGGGGCAGCAGGGGGATTGATCCCTCAGCCTCCGCAGTCATTTTGAGGGACATCACTTCTCCGACATCCCAGCTCGCTGGGCACAGGCAGGATGGGCCTTGGGGCAAAGAGACACAGGGGCTGGCTGTTGGAAGGACCTGCAATGGTAAAAGGTGGGGAGCTCTCAGGGGGTCCCACAAAGCATCGCTACAAACTCAAAACCAAGCCTTTAAGCATCAGCCATCTGGTGGGGTCTCGCCTCCAACTCCCTGGGAGGAAACACAAGCCTCAGGGTGAGGCTGACCCCCAGGAGCCCAGCTGGCACTTGGGGAACATCCTTAGGGTTCCGGATAACAGCTGCCATTCTAGGCACTTTCTGCTTCCACGCAGGATGCGGGAGACCTTGCTCCCATGGGAGCACCAAAAGAGATCCGGATAATATGAAACTCATACTTATATATGGGGGTCCCAAGGAACAGTGGAGACCAGAAGGGCTTGTCGAACTGATTTCAGGAGAAAGGAGCCCATCGTAAGTGAGCTGTGAGCCCCGGGGGGTCCGGATGCAGGACCCAGAACTTCTCTAGGTGGAGACCAGCCCGCTGAGCGACCGGCAAGGGTGGAAAGGGGCGGGATGTACTGGAGTCTGGAAGACCGAGGGCAGTAATGATGTGCTCAGCATGGCTGTCCTCTCCGCCCACCCCAGATTTGCTGAGAAAAAATAAAAGTGAAGGCAGGACTGATGAACAGAAAGAAACCAGCCCATCTGCCCCGTCTCCCACATTCTCCTGATGCCTGATATTAAGGGACCCAGAGGGGTTCCATGGAATCCGAAGTAAGCCCCGATAAGAGCTGAGAGCCTGGCCCTTCCTTGGGAAGCTGGGTGGGGTTGGGCTGAGCCGAGGGGGCTGAACCCAGACTGAAATCTGAGTAGTCATCTCCTCTCTTTAGCCAATGGATAAGAGAAGAACTCAGAATTCCCACCAGGAAAAGCCAGTCTTATTCCTCAGTTCTCACC